TTGTTTTCTAATAACTGATTGACTTTAACTAATATCAACAAATGTTTCCTTATCAAAAAACTAGTATATGCAAGAATCCTTTAAGTATACTACAAAGAGTATACTTCCAGTTTACTTTTTTGTACTTATCTGAGATAAGTTTATCTTACACTATGCTTGGCTTGTACTCAAAGTTTAATTATACTTAGTCCATACTAATGTTTAAACTTTTGGCCAAGATAAACTTTAGTAGTACAATTTTCACACAGACTGGTTTATTTATAGTACATTTCAAGATTAAACTAAACATATACTTAGAAGATTATACTTCTGGGTATACTTATATAAACTTATTGTTGGCCAATTTAGTCCCAGAAGTATACTTGTTAGTAAACGGCTAGCATACTTGTATCAGTGTACATGGTGAATGAAAGTACACTTAGGGAAACACACTTTTAAATACTTTAGTCTACTTAATGACATGCACTTCTTTTTGGTAAGTTTATAAACTTTAAAAGACATAACAGTAAAGTATACTTTTTATAAACTTTTAAAAAATTGTCCCAATTTAGTATTAACAAGTATTAAATCAGTATACTTTCTAGTACACTACAAGAACATGGTGCCTAATGATATACTTAAACTTATACTCAAGTATACTTATTAAAATGAACTACAAGTATACTACTTGGCACAAAACCTGCATATCTAAATGAATTTCAGCCATTTTTGTGTTTTCTAATAACTCTGATTGACTTTAACTAATATTTATGAAGTATATAAATGCTTTTAGAAAGGAGCCACAACTGTTTTATCTTGGGATGGGAGGATGTTTGTGTACCTCTTACACTGTCAGAAATTTGGTTCATTGGAACACAAGGGCGAGAAAACAAACTTTAATAATAAAAATAAACAGCTGATGACATRGAAAATTAACAAAATAATGGAGACTAAATCAACAAGGAGCACAAACAAGAACCAACAGTACTGATTCAAGACTCTGAGAACTGTGTCCTGGAGAGATCAGGAACAAGTGGACGTATCTGGGCGGATTGACAGATGATGGACAGGTGAGTTATGAGGGAAAAGAACTGACCGATAGAGAGAATACCAACTAAAACTACAAAAACATAACATCCACCTGATTTAATCTCACATATGAATGAATGGTCCGTTTTCTATACTTGCTTGATTCTTGCAGGGTCTCAGATGTTTACCTCCAGCGGCTAGGTGAGAGGACAGGTACAGGTTGTAACCTTATTCCAGCACCTGAATAACAATTAAACATAAAAATGCATGTGGCATATCCTCATAATCTACTCACTACTACTAAGTGGCTTATTACATAATCACCATAATCCACCTCAAGCTAATGTACACTGCCTGTATATCCCTGCCTGAAAAGTGATATTGGCATAAAATCAGCAAAACCTAGTAACGAAAATATAATGTAGCGATTTATATTGAATCCAAAGCAATTAAACAATAATGTAGTAAGAATAAATTYTGAAATATGGTGCAAAATATTGAAAAATTATGTTTTAATTCTATTCAAAATACTGAGCAAAACAGCTCTCCCAAACCAGTGGTGAAKAAAGTAATCAAACACTGTAAGAAAAGTAGAGATAAACAGACAAAAATGTACTCAAGTAAAAGTACCACATTAATAGTTTTACTTGAGTAAAAATGCTTGCTTAATGTATTCCCTAATGGTCTACAGTATCACAAAGTTTGCCCATACTGCATGTATATTTTTAAATACATCAATGGTGTGCCTTTTTAGTGATTAGTCATTTCTTCTGGYGGAGTTTCTGTGGTGGGTTTTGGGTGTAGCACTGTCCCTGATGCTCCAGCAGGTGATGTGGARTCACCCCGCTCTTCTTGAAGGGGGGTCTAAAGGTATTTTCCTGCTTTGCAATGGTTCAGTGGACCAATTACAGCAATCCCCCTCTCGCCATTTTTACATTAAAACTAAAAAAACAAATAAAAAAGCGTAATATGACATGAATGTAATTTGTAATTCACACATTACAAAAATGTAGTGGAGTAAAAAGTACAGATACATAATGTAAAATATAGTGGAGTAAAAGTTGAAAGTACCCATGATTAAAGCTACTTAAGTACAGATACATGAAAATTTACTTAAGTAGAGTACATCCCACCACTGTCCTAAACTGAATATTCTTAGGTTTGTCAATGCTGATTATTAATTTAAACTCCTCCTACATTAATCATGAACAACATGACAATACCAGCTTTMTCTGCACCTGAACAAGCCCATGTCAGTTTATGTCTACATCTAAAGTTATGGAASTTATAAATGCAAAAACCTACAAAGATTACATGAGTCACACACTGAACRTTAGAGCAGAGCATCAGTAAAATTATAACTGGGTGTTTCTTCAACCGTTCTCCTGACGATCCATTGCTGAAGCCCTTTGAGCTCTTTTTACTTTAGTGAGAATGTGGGTCACAGGGTCGACCACCCCCTCCCCACAACCAGGAATCTGAAGCATTTTTCCCTCTTGTAACACTTGGCACCTTTATGTCATCTGTTTATGTGGTGCTGTTTGTAAAGTTAAACAGTCAAAAATTACCACCAATATTTTTGTTTTATTTAGCCTTTTATAAGAA